CCCCAAAACCCCAAAACCCCAAAACCCCAAAACCCCAAATATAAAAGATCATATAGAAAGACTTAGTCAGTATATTCGTAAAACCCATCACCTTTGGATGAACAAAGGCCTTTTTGCTCTAATTTCTTGAGAGATGCGTCAAATTCTTCTTCGATAACTGTAAACTTAGAGGCAAGTCGTTGGTAAACATCTTTCTTCAGATTTGTATAATCATAAACTAGCTTTTCCTTCAGTATTCTGACTATGGCGCTTTGAATGACAGATGAGTGAGCTTCTTCCATCTTAAAGGCTTCATAAACTTGTTTATCCGAAGTGATGCTCTCCTTGAACACTTCAGAAGAAGCATATGAGACATAGTACTTAGAGTCAGAGAACACATTTGTTGAGCTTTCTGATACATTTATATCACTAGCAAATCCGCTCCCTAGTGCTCATAGAGATAAGGCGTCAGATTCAAGCTTCAATATCTCTGGTATGAAAGGAGCAATGCATTTGTTAAATATGCTTTTTATCTACTCAGAACAACCCCTCTAGTTCGGATATCAGTAAAGAATCTTTATCATTATAGCACATAAGGATAGATGCCTGAAGAGGGTTTACATTGATAGTTCTAGCTATTCCTTGGCTTTTATCCAGAACTTCAACAATTCCAAATAGAGGGAGATACATTAATTTCTGATGTTTGAACTTATCCCCATAAAATGTCTCAAATTCTGTATTAAAGTTTGTTAAAGAAGGATGGATTTTAACCTTCTTTAACAGATCCATATCGAAAAGTAAATGAGGCCAAGAGTGATTGGAAACAAGCACAACTGAAGCTTTATGCTTTGTATGTTTATATTCCTCACATATATTAGCTCCATCTGAGACTTCTCTTAGAAGCTTCTTTATCTTACTCAATGTATTTCCAAAGTAATTAAAGAGATAATTGAACAGCCATTTGAGTTTGTTCAAGTCAGAATTTTCAGAAAGAATCTGAATGAAATAGAAAGTTCTGATATTTATCTCTAGCTTATCCTTGTCTTTTATAACATCTATATACTTCATTGCAGGGCTCAGTAACTTTTCAAGCTCTTCAGATGGCTTCTCAGCTGTAGATGTCCATCACTTCTGGATATAATTGATCGCCTCAGTCGGATTTTGAGGATTCATAGCTAAAACTTCATTTGCACTTGTCTCATAAAGGATATTTAGCAGATCAATGTTGTCATACACCTTTTTCTTACTGAGTTCCTTAATTTTGGATTCAAAGTTGACAAACTCTTGGAGCATGTTTCCTGATTTCGCTAGCATTACTTCTTTGTAACACTTGGCAAAGACTTTGAGGAAGGATTCCTTGCTTTTACCTTTGAAGCATTGGTAGATTATAAGAAGGTCATTCAATTCAGTATCTCCTTTAGCTAATATATCCTTAAGTGCTGAAGGTATCAGATCTAGGAGCAAGTCTCCTCTTGTGAGCAAGTAATCTAGTTGATCAGTTATTATTTTTATGGTCTTAGGATCTTCACAAAGAGAGTTCACTTCTTTTAAAATTTTATCTTTCAAAATTTCAACATCTTTCAGGTAAAATCTGATGTTGATGTCCTTCAGGGTTTGAAGAATTTTGCTTTGGTCAATCCTTCTTTTCACTAGTAACACAAGTTGTTCCTGAACGCAGAGGTACAATTTATCGAGATTCCGTTGCTTTGCTCCTTTTATTAAACCTTGAATTAAAGACCCGAAGTTTATTTTCTCCATGAATTGGAGAGAGTCTTCATACTCGAGCATTCTTTCGTAGAATTCAAAGATAGTATCTAAGAATCCGGAGGGGTGTAGTTTTTCCTTCTTTAAATACTTATCAAAGCCTTCTTGAGTTCCATTATTTTCTATAGAGCTTGTATAGCTCTGTGTACCTTTCATTAATAGAATCTGAGTCTCCAGAATGGATATAATTTATATTAGACCTTGCTCCTTTCAGTTCAGCTTGAAGGAATACCTTTATAAAAGCAGGAGTAAAGATCTCTATTGCTATATTCTCTCCTCCCATTGGGTCAATCGCATCCATTTTTGAATACATTTGAATCAAAGTTTTTAAAGTTATCATTAAGTTTTCATCAGATTTTGCTCTCAGGTCTTCAATTTTAGCAAATAGCTTCTTTTCAGGCAGCTTGAATAGATCCTCTTCATTCTGATCAACAATCTTGAGGAAGTCATATTGAAACTGACTGGATAGGTCTTTCATTATCTAAAAATATACCAAAATTTTACCTTGTAGTTAAGTTTCATTCCAAAATGAGGGTATTTGAGCAGGAAGGCAATCTGCTTCTCACTCATGGGCTGATGGAGGTCATAAAACTCCTTCTCAAAGACCTTCAGATTCTCTATCTCATTTATCTCAAGAAAAGCTTGAGCTGTCATACCAAATTTAAATTATAAATCATGTAGGGGTTTTGGGGTTTTGGGGTTTTGGGG